GCTGGCCTAAGTTGTCCTTGAACCTCACCAGGAGACAAGATCAAGGACAGAATGGGAAAAACTGCAGAGAACATGGTGTTAGGATTGCACCTCCAGGATGAATGGTGGGAGGATGTTGGGCGGGAGCGTGCTGATAGGGCCACCCATAAAGCAAATTTCTGCTGGTTCACTGGCTGAAATTCACTCAGTGTAAGGCCATCTTAAAGTGGTTGTAAACCCTTATATATTCCCATTGAGATGACCGGCCTCAGGTGATACACAGAGATGAAACAAGGTCTCCTACATAAGTTGTACCTGTTTATCGGCAATCCCCACTTCTCTACATCCGTTCCACCTGCTGAATTTATAAACCTCTGTCTGAGAATTCAGAAAGGGGGCAGAGAGCTGAAATGACACACTGCAGAACTCATGGAGGAGACCTCTGAGAGCTGATTGGAGAGAAGAGACACACCCTCCATTCACACAGCACACAGAAACAGAGCTAAGTCTGTCAATTTACTGGAGGTCCCTCCCGTCACCATTTTTCTCTTGGTGTCAGGAAAACTTATCAGAATGCAGATAGCAGAGGAACAAGGCAGCAGACAGAAATGACACTTGGTGCTCAGGATTGAGACAAGAACCCACTATAGAGGGATATTCTTTGTTCATATTTGCTAGTTATTGCACATCATTACCACTCACCTATTGGTTGCTAGAGGTTACTGCACATCATTACCACTCACCTACTGGTTGCTAGAGGTTACTGCACATCATTACCGCTCACCTATTGGTTGCTAGACGTTACTGCACATCATTACCCACCTACTGGTTGCTAGAGGTTACTGCACATCATTACCGCTCACCCATTGGTTGCTAGAGGTTACTGAACATCATTACCAATCACCTACTGGTTGCTAGAGGTTACTGCACATCATTACCCCTCACCCATTGGTTGCTAGAGGTTACTGCACATCATTACCACTCACCTACTAGTTGCTAGAGGTTACTGCACATCATTACCGCTCACCCATTGGTTGCTAGAGGTTACTGCACTTCATTACCACTCACCCATTGGTTGCTAGTTACTGCACATCATTACCACTCACCTATTGGTTGCTAGAGGTTACTGCACATCATGACCGCTCACCTATTGGTTGCTAGAGGTTACTGCACATCATTACCGCTCACCTACTGGTTGCTAGAGGTTACTGCACATCATTACCCCTCACCTATTGGTTGCTAGAGGTTACTGCACATCATTACCCCTTACCTATTGGTTGCTGGAGGTTACTGCACTTCATTACCACTCACATATTGGTTGCTAGAGGTTACTGCACATCATTACCACTCACCTACTGGTTGTTAGAGGTTACTGCACATCATTACCGCTCACCTATTGGTTGCTAGAGGTTACTGCACTTCATTACCTCTCACCCATTGGTTGCTAGTTACTGCACATCATTACCACTCACCTATTGGTTGCTACAGGTTACTGCATATTATTACAGTCAGCACTGTGTGTCTTTGATCTCCACACTGCTGACCAGAGAGAAGGGGGGTCAGCGGGGGAACACAGAGCCTCACTCCCTGTCACAGCTGCTCCGCTCCTGACAGAGGAAGAAGAGGAACAAGTGAGCTCTAAAACATGCAGCCCACGGCTGTGCCTCTCCCCTGTGACAGCGTGGCTGCGGAGAACACGTGAGAGATAGTCCGCACCCCGCTACACTATGAAAAATATTTGCAGGACTTGATGGTGTCACCCCGCATCACTATCCTTCCATAAAAGACAGATTTTAGGCATGATCAGTCATATTTTCAATATCAATGCCGAAATGTCGCCATTTCTGCCAAGGCCAATAGGTACAAGTTAAAAAAAACAGACTTTACTAACTGCCTCTTTTCTCTCCATCATCACTTCCGCCCTGTGGCTCCATCCCCCCCACTCCAGCTATGTGCTTTCCAAGGGTTGCCATAGTAACGCCCCGCTGGGTGATGGGCCAATTGTCCAGAGGACAGCCAGTGACAGAGAACCGTTTATTCCAGTAGGGAGCCAGATCCGCCACTAGAGGGCGACCGTCTGGCGAGATAGAGGAAGATGTGTCCTCAGTGAATGAGGGACGGCGGCCATTTTGTTGTAGAGCCTACAGTTCCTCCATTAGCCTGTTCACCGATTAGTTTCAGTATACCAGAGTTACTGCGGTGTAAATAAGATTCGGAATACACTACTAACCAAGACTAAGTGGATTCCGCTCGAAATAGAGTCAAGTAATCGTACATTGTGAGCAATAGCGGCCTTTTTGTTGTAGCCCAGAGGAGGAGCTGCAGTGCTACTGTAATCCTCCTGGTGGGGGAGGGAACCTATGGAGTGTGTGGCCAGGTAAGGAGAAGGTAATATCTTGTTATGGGAGAAGCGGGTCCCAGTACTCAGGGAGGGCTGGTGGTCATGTTGTGGGTCAGGTCATGTGCCCTCTAGAGTCAGGGGTCAACAGGCTCTGCACTGGGGGGGGATTAGTCCCCTTTGGTGTATTGGGGTCTTTATAGATAAATATAATTACAGAGGGGATTTATAACTGATTCTTGTACACATGGCGCTGTGGCATGCCATTGAACGGCAAAACGCAACATACAGACACACTCCAGTACACAAGGCGGTCTCAGTTAAAGCCTCCCATGGCGGCAACAGACTACGACCTCATTTATGACATTGGCGCCATTGTGTCATCAAATCCGCAGAGATTTTTTTTGCCCATGTTATCCATCTCTGCTGAGGGGCTCTGCAAAACAAGAACTTCTCATCGTTATCATTTTATCTGGGAAGGGGGCTATAGCGGGTGGGTGGGATCAATGTATACCGCCATGATGTATAGAAACATATTGCCGCCGACAACCCCAATAGAAAAATTAGGGAGCTCACGCCACATAGATCAACCACATCTGTTGAAAAACGAACTGAGGTTTCAGCTACAGTCCTCGCATCTTGAATATGCTCACTGGCGCGTTTCACCCAGGGTGAAACGCGTCAGTGCCAAGGGATTGTAGCTAAAGCCTCTGTGTTAGCCTAACAGCGGATGTGGTTGACCTATGTGGTGTGCTCCCCCTAATTCTGCTATTCGGGTTTTCCCATGGAGTAAGACGTGGGGATTTAGCACAGCCCATATTTGTGCTAGGAGGGGGGATTTGGTGAAGGTGGTGCTAAGAGGGGGCATTTGGTGGGGGTAGTGCTAAGAGGGGGGGGTTTGGTGGGGGTGGTGCTAAGAGGGGGGCTTTGAGGGGATTGTGCTGGGAGAGGGGATGGGGGGAGAGAGTTGGAGCGGTGTTTGTGCCAGGGGAGATTTGGGAACAGGGGGGTTTGTGCTAGGAGGGGGGATGGAGGGGGGGGGTTGTGCCTGGAGGAGGGATTTGGTGGGGGGGACTTGTGTTAGGTGGGGGGATTTGAGGAGGTTGTGCTAGGAGAGGGGTGAAGGGTGGGTTGGAGCAGGGTTTTACTAGGAGTTGAGATTTGGGAGTATGGGGATTTGTACTAGGATGGGAGGATTTGGGGGGGGGGGGGGGTTATGCTAAAAGGAGGGATATGGAGGGGGACTTGAGGGGATTGAGCACAGCCCACATTTGTGCTGGGGTAGGGAGTTGTGCTTGGAGGAGGGATTTGGTATTTTGTGGTGTATTTGTGTTAGAGGGGAGATTTGAGGGGGCTGTGCTATGAGGGGGGACATGGGAGGGACTTGAGGGGATTGAGCACAACCCACATTTGTGCTTGGAGAGGGTTGTGCTTGGAGGAGGGATTTGGTATTTGGCGGGGGATTTGTGTTAGAGGGGGGATTTGAGGGTGTTGTGCTAGGAGAGGGGGGTTAGAGCAGGGTTTGTACTAGGAGTTGGGATTTGGGAGCAAGGGGATTTGTACTAGGAGGAGGAATTTTGGGGGAAGGGTTTTGCTAAGAGAGGGGATTTGGGGGGGGGGGGGGGTTGTGCTTAGAGGAGGGATTGGAGGTGGGGGGCTGTTGTACTAGGAGTGGAGATTTGTGGGGGGGGATTTGTGCACGGAGGAAGAATTTGGGGGGTTGAGCTTGGAGGAGGGATTTGGTGGGGGGATTTGGGTTAGGAGGGGGGATTAGAGGGGGTAGTTTCTAGGAGAGGGGATGGGGGGGGGGGGGGGGTTGGAGCCTGGCTTGTACTAGAAGTGAGGATTTGGGAACAGGGTAATTTGTGCTAGAAGGACATATTGGGGGGGTTGTGTTGTGCTAGGGGGGATGATTTTGGGGGGGGGGGGGGGGTTGTGCTTGGAGAAATGGATTGGGGGGGGGGGGGGGTTTGTGCCAGGAGGAGAAATTTTGGGGGGGGGGGGTTGTTCTAGAAGGAGGGACTTGGTGGTGGTGGTGGGGGGGGTTGTTGTGCTATAGGGAGGGATTTGGTGGGGGTTGTTGTGCTAGGAGGAGGAATTTGGGGGTGGGGGGGTTGTTGTTCTAGGAGGAGGGATTTGGGTGGTTTGTGCTAGGAGGAAGTATTGGGGGGGGGGGGGTGCTAGAAGGAGGAATTTGGGGGGGGGGGGGGGTTGGTGTTGGGGGGGTTCTAGGGAGATTTGGGGGGAGGGATTTGGTGGGGGGAGTTTTGTTGTGCTAGGAGGAGGGATTTGGGGGGGGTGTTGTTCTTGGAGGAGGGATTTAGGGGGGGGGGGGGGGGTTCTTGTTCTAGGTGAGGGGATTCGGTGGGGGTTTGTGCTAGAAAGGGGGATTTGGAGGGAGAAGAATTACAACCTAAGATCACTGAACATTACAAAAGTGCGACGTGGGCGAACACGCAAAAAAAGCGCATGCTCAGACACTCAGTGAATGAGCCCTCAGACTGGAGTGCCCCGGGAGAGTTCTAAAGGGTGCCTTGAGTGGAAATAGGTTGAAAAGCGCTGTCCTACTGTACAGACACCTGACTCTGATTCCCGGCTTTTATTTCCCTGTGCAGCCATTGGGACCTAACACGCTAAATACAGTTTATGAGGAAACACCTGTGAGAAGGTCAACTGACTGAGGATGGAGACAGACCGGAGTCACATGACCAAGAGGATATTAAACCTCACCCTGGAGATCATCTACCTGCTCACCGGAGAGGTTAGGAGGATTCTGGGAGCTCATGTAATTTCTCATTGCATCCGTTGTATGTACCTAGTGTCATATGGAGTGATTAGCCGATTGCCGACCCGGCAGATTGGCTGGTACAGGCACAATGACATACCTGTACGTTGCGGCTTTCTTCGGGGTCTGGGTCGTTCGCTGCAGCACAAGCCGATCAGTGGGTCCCGGCCAATGACAGAAGAGAGCCCTGTGTTGGCAAACAACACAGGGCTCTCTTCAGACAGCAGCGATGTGCCTGATTTTTTTTCTTCCTGCAAAGCAGGGAGTAAAAACCAGCACGTTGCTTAGTAAAACAGTAAACATTGTTAGGCACAGATTTAACCCCTTGATTGCTCTAGATGTTAACCCCTTCCCAGCCAGTGTCATTAGTACAGTGACAGTGTATAATATTATCACTGTATTAGTGTCACTGGAGATGTCAGTGTCAGTTAGTTGGTCCCCTCCCAGTGTCAGTTAGTCAGATTGCCAGCTGCACTATCGCAGACCCACTGTAAGTTGCTGATGGCCACCATTAGATACACAGAATATAACTGGATATAACATTTATAGATAAAGTTGATCAAGGGAATATCCGATTGCCTCTCGGGGGATCAGGAAGGAATTTTTTCCCTGCAGGAGCAAATTGGATCAACTGTGGATATATCGTTTTTTAAAATCAAAATTTTTTTTAACATATTCTTTTTTTCGATTATATTGCAAAACTTTTTTTAAAAACCCAGCGGTGATCAAATACCACCAAAAGAAAGCTCTATTTTGTGTGAACAAAAATTATAGAAATTTCATTGGGAACAATGTTGCATGACCACAGTTTTAAGAAGCACAGTACCGAAGAGCAAGAAAAAAAATGGCCTGGTCACGAAGGGGGTAAATCTTCCGAAGCTCAAGTGGTTAAACTTAGCGGTGGTGAGCATTTTTAATGAGTCGCGTCAGTCCGAACGTGTGGTTTAAGGGCTGGCTGGCCCACTTTTCTTCAGCAAAAGAAAAGTCCACAGATACAGTTGCTCATGCAGGGGTTCTTTTCCAGGAATAAAACAACAGAAAATACCGAGCCACCTGGCTCGCACAGCTTTTAGTTGAAGCACCTTGCTGAATGGGCCAATTTTTGGTCTCTGAATAAGGGTTCTCCTGACACCTGAGCTCCTCACTTTTCAGAGACTATCTCTAGTCCCCTGGACTTGCTGGTTGCCTCAGCTTTCTCAGTCCCTCCAGACTCAAGTCCTGACTATCCCAGCCCTGTGGGCAAAGACTACCCCCAACATGGGGTGCAGGTTCTTGGCAGCAACACACGTCATTCCTGGATGGAGGACACAGCTCTATTTTGACTTGGCTCTGTCTCCACATGGGAGCCTTGAGCTATGCTCAGGCCTGGCTTATAATGGACACAGGTCTTCCAGCAAGACCTGGACACAGGATTGAAGGCTTTATCCCACCTAGGACATTGTAAAGCCTTCAAACTCCAGAACCCGATCTGAGAGTGCCGCACCCTGCAGTAGTGCAAGCCCTGTCCCACATGGAAGAAAAATATATTTGAAATATATATTTTAAAAACATTCTTCCCAAATATATTGCCATATATTTTAAATACTACAATTTTGGCCATATTCAATATATATATATACACACACACACTGCATTTTTATTACAATATATATGAAAAATATTTTCAAGAATACATTTTCAAATATACTGTATGTCTTTAAAAATGCATTTAATCTACATTTTTGGAATGCATTTTCAAATAAATGTAAAAATATATGTTAAAATTACTTTTTAAAAAAAAATCTGAACAATATATTTAAAAAAATATATATTTTTAAAAATATATATTTTTAAATATATCCTTCTGATTTTCTTTAACATATAAAAAAGTCATTTTAACACATATTTTGACATATATTTGTAAATGCATTCCAAACATGCAGATTTGTATTTTTAAAGACACAGTATATATAAAAAAAATCTGAAGAATATATTTAAAAAGTATATATTTTAAAAATATTTTTCATATATCTTGTTTTATTTATATATATATATATATATATATATATATATATGTTTTATGCCCGGTTAGGCATGTCAAGGTGTTGTCAGGCATATTTTTAACCGGGCTGTTTTGTGGCATTGGGGGACTGTAGGCCTCCAATCCTGACACGTTTCGAGGCAGAACTTCTTCCTCAGAGCCAAACTGTGTGATGTCTATTTTCGTGATGTGCCTTTGATTTTATTCTTTTGCGAGTATACTACTTTTTATTCAATAAATCTCCTTTTTAGAAGAAGGTAATGCACTGGCCCGTGCGCCCCTTGTTTGTTTCTTTGCACACACCTTTTTCCTCCTTCCCTGCCCTTCCTTTTTCTCTCCCCCCCCCCCCCCCGGGTGCTTTAGGCCAATTTTTTTAGAACTATCCAATGTGATATTGATTATTAATGATTCAATTGTATTCATCTTTATCACTGTTATTTCTTAAAATGTTGATGTATAGATTGGCTCCTGAAGAAGTGGACCTTGTCCAAGAAGCGCGTCATGCCAGCTTCTGATATATTACTCTTTGAATTCGATGCTTCTTATAAGTGATATATATGTTTTATTATACTAAACTGTTGTAACAATTTTAGAGAAATTGATGTAAAAAGGTTAGTTTTTTATATATGGATTAAATAAAACTGAATTTTAATGTTTAATGGTGTATCTCAAAAGTCCCATTCTATTGTTTTTTTGCCTTTTTGATTGAATGTCACTGTGTTTAGATATGAGGTCACAAACCTTCTCCCAAAAGGGTTTTAGAACCGCACAACTCCAGAACCTATGGAGATATGTGCCCTCATGCTAGGACCAGTGCCAGCCTAGGGAAGGTGGGCTTGGAACAATTTTGCGTAGGATCATAGAGGCCCGGTACCAGCGAGTTAATATTTTGAAGCCCGTTTCTTGTAAAGAGCTGGAACTAGATGCAGTATGGGCCAAACACAACGTGCGTGTCTTCTGCTTTTCCAAGAAGCCCAGGTCAGATTCCCACTTCGCCATATAGGGAGAGTCCACTTGGTCCAGAAGGCGAGAAAGTTGCTTATAGGATAAAGGACGGGCCATGTCGAACCGGGGAGGATGAAGCACATAACTTTTCAAACTCAGGAGGTGAAAGAGTCCGCTTTCCCCAGATTTGCAAAAAGTGCTTTAGTTGGAGCGCTTTCCGGAACGGTAAAGGTGGGTCTGTCATTAGCTGAAGATCCAACAAAGATTTACAGAACGTAAAAGTGAGGAATGCCACAGGGTCCATTTATTTTGAATGCATTGAAGATGTTTACTGTGGTTTGAGTGGTGGCATTATCTCGTATTTCTGCTTTCAATATAGAATTATGTGGCGTTCAAGTTCTCTGATGGTTTAGTGGCATCGAATTTGGTGAAGACCCAGCGTAGCACTGTACAGCCCCCATCTCACTCTCTGAGAAAGAACAAGAAGGTCCAAGAGGTCACCAGTGAGATCATTGAGCTGCTGACTGGAGAGGTGAGAGGTGCCGGGAATTCTGGGACATTCTCCAGTAACAGACAAGGGATGTGTCTGGATGATGACTGTAATATTGTGTGTGTCAGGTTCCTACAAGGTGTCAGGATGGCACTATTTATTTTTCCATGGAAGGATGGGAGTATCTAGAAAGCCACAAGGGTCCATATGAGGATGAAATGATGGAGAACCGGCCGCCCCTCACATTACAGGGTAAGAGAAGACTTTGATATAAAGTCATAGAAACAATAGAGGAGTGGGAGTATATAGAAGGACACAAGGATCTGTAGAAGGACGTCATGATGGAGAACCGGCCGCCCCTCACATCACTGGGTAAGAGGAGACTTTCATTTCTTGTATTGAGGATCCACCTAGATACACACATCCTATGATATAAAGACATAGAAACAATGTATTCAGTCAGTGTGTATGTTTCCTACAGATGGATCCAGTAACAGAAATACCCCAGAGAGATTTCCCAGCCCCCTCTATTCCCGGGACTCCACACAGGAACATCAGGAGATCCCTCAGAACTATCAGGTAGATGAATTTTAGTTGGCGAAAATGTAGCTGGCATCCAATCCCAGCCTGGGAAGTTGAATGACATTCTTCTTTGTTGTTGATTACATAGGAAGGATGCCTAACTGGATATAAAACTCAAGATATGGATGAGGATGTGGTATATGTGAAGGGCTATGAGCCGTGTAAGTAAGGAGGAGATCCTTCCAGAGATCAGCACAGGTGAGGAATAAACACTAAATCCAGAGAAGAGTCCCAGATCCTCCTTGTTCAGTCACTACAACAATCTCTTCTTCTCCCCCCTCCTTTGTCAGTAGACAGTAATGGGGGGACAGTGTGTGCCCAGTGGGGGGTCAGGAGCCATCAGCCTCCAGTAGACTCCAGCTATAAGCCATGTAAGGAGGAGAAGATCCCCCCAGAGATCAGCCCAGGTGAGGAATAAACACTAAATCCAGAGAAGAGTCCCAGATCCTCCTTGTTCAGTCACTACAACCATCTCTTCTTCTCCCCCCTCCTCTGTCAGTAGACAGTAATGGGGGGACAGTATGTGCCCAGTGGGGGGGTCAGGAGCCATCAGCCTCTATTAGACTCCGCCTCTCCTCACATCATGTCATTGAGACGTGACCAGTCTCCCCCCACACACACTCTCTGGGGTCTCTCATGCATCTCAGTACAGGGGACTTCACTCTCATCTTTATTCACAGACCCGGAGACACTCAGACAGAGGTCAAAGTTGAGGAGGAGGAAGGAAGCATAGATTATGTGAAAATTGAAGAGGAGGAAATCCCTATTGTGATTGGTGCAGGTGAGAATAAACTTTGCATATGGCGTTCATTTGTTTTTCCTTTGTCTTACACCAGTACATTAATTTAGCAAATTCAGCTTAAGACTTCAAGAATGTACGCAAATACATTGAGAATGAATTAAGTTTCATCATGTGAGTAAGTGGAAGATTCAGTCCAATTGAAGAATCGTGCCATCCCCCAATAATCTTTAGTGTCTCTAAACCCACATCATAAACTATCAATAAATGCCGTGTTACGTGCTGTTCATACTCACTCCGTCACTTTGAGGTTTGTTTTCTGTATTCTGCAAAAAAAACCTGGTTGATCCTGCTGCTCTCTATCTCCCCCTGCTGTCCATGTCTCCAGTGCATCTGGGATTTTTGCAGAGCAGTGTTGGCAGATCTGCACATGCTCAGTTTTCAGCAAGTTTCTCTAATGAGCATTTCCTCCCTATCACATCTGAGCAGCCCATGTAACTATAAAGTCACACATGTGGGCGTATACAGAGTGGCAAATGACAGCCCACTCCCTCCCTCTGCCCTATGCCCACTAACCAGCTAAACACGATGGGGGTTGGGATAATAACTCTTGATTGATAGAGGCTTCACCTCCCTCCTATTCTAAGACACACACTTCTGGGGCGTGCCACAGCCTGTGACTGGCAGAAATCTGCCCACACCATGTGATATCCACAACATAATACTGATTTAATTTCAAATATATATTTTTATGACTGTTTAAAACAGTTTATTGATATTATTTATTTTTACTCTGTATCCCAGATGCTATTTTTTTTTTGTTTTTAATTTTGAACACGTGACCAGCAACAGAGGAGTAGAAGCTCCTCCTGCCACTGTGTCCCTGCAGACAGGCTGGGAAAGAGCTGGGTTATGTGACAGATTTATATTGATTAGGAAAAAAGTACTTAGATTTTTTTTTTATTAAAATAATCAGTGTCATCATTCATATACAGCACTAGACAAAAATATAAAACGGCGCAAAAGAATACCTAAACCAAATAAATATATTGTAGATATATAATATAGTGTCCAAAAAAAAAAAATATTATTATATATATAATAGTGTCCACAACAACTCAAAAATATAAATTCAAAATCCTTCCTCCCAGACTTCACAGTGCTTTGACAAAGAAATATTCTTCTGTGATATATGCTTCCACCATCCACCAGTGCAAACCGACATAAACCGCACTCACCAGATAATGGTGAATAGTAGGCCTTTTAGGACTTTCAGGGATCCTACACCCCCTCTATAGCCTCCAGACCTCCATTCCACCATACAGAGCTATGATGATCCTTCCAGCTCCACTGTTGTGCCAAAGGGAAAATATTACATATAGTGTAATATTGCTAATGACCATAAAGCATGTAAAAACAAATACCAGGCCACTCACATTTTCCAAGATTCATAAAAACATGTTTATTAGCCTCCACCGGCCAGTTAAGATCACACACCATTCAGAGACAGCTCCAGAAAACTCACAGCTCCAATTTTAATGTATTTATTTATTGCAATACATTTTGAAATATACTGAATACGGCCAAAATTGTAGTATTTCAAATATATGTCAATATATTTGGGAAGAATATTCTTAAAATATATTTCAAATATATTTTTCTTCCATGTGGGTAGAATATATATATATATATATGTATATCTAAATATATACGGTACATACTGCATGTTGAAAAGTGTTTTTTAAATATTACAAAATATTTTGAAAAATATATTTTTTAAATATACTCCAGATTTTTCTTAACATATAAAAAAAGTTATTTTTACATGCATTCGAAAAATGTAGATTAAATGTATTTTTAAAGACATACAGTAAGTTTGAAAATGTATTTTTAAAAAATATTTTTCATATATTTTGTAATAAAAATGCATTTCAACATACTATATATATATATATATATATATATATATATATACTATATATATATACTGTATATTTAATTATTTATTGAAATCTATTTTGAAATATATTGAATACGGCCTAAATTGTAGTATTTCAAATATATTTTTCTTCCATGTGGGAAGGGAATGTAATCCATTGATTCTACAGACTCCCCTTCACAGCTGAATTTGTCAGTTATGCAGATATGGGTGCAGGGACCCAAATGTGCGTCCAGGTCCTTGAACTCATTCCTGTGTACCTGTCAACCTCATCTGTGCAGGGAAGTCTGTACAGCCAGTTCCTACCTAGTTTATAAGTTAAAAAAAAAAAAAGTACGCAAAAAGCTGTGCATGCTTGGCAGGGATGGGCACCCATGTGAATGAGCCCGTAGCGTTTTGTCAATGCATTAACTGTTTATTTCAGAGTTTAAAAACATAAATTTTTACCTCCAGATCAACAAGATCAAGTGAGTGATACAGAGAAGCAGCCAATGATCTCTCCAGAAATGGCAAATGACATGACCTATGACTCTTCAGAAGAAAATCCCATTGTTGCACTCCGCCATTCAATACCTTACAGTGCAGATCTGTTGTCAGATCCCTCTACGTACGGGAGGAGTTTCACTGATCACTTGCCTTCCGTCGCCCATCGTCCAGATCACAGGGTGGGTGAACCATTCCCGTGTTCCATAGGTGGGCATTGTTTTGCCCAGAGGGCAAGATCTGGATCTCACCAGATGCCTCACACGGCGGAGAAGCCATATTCATGTTCTGTGTGCGGGAAATGTTTTACCCAGGTAGGATATCTTCCTTTACACGAACGAACGCACACAGGGGTAAAGCCGTACTCATGTTCTGAATGCGGAAAGAGCTTTTCATTCAATTCAACTCTCAACAGACACAAAATAGTCCACACGGGGGAGAAGCCATTCTCGTGTTCTGAATGCGGGAGATGCTTTTCACTTAACTCGACTCTTATTAAACACCAGAGAACCCACACTGGGGAGAAGCCATTTTCGTGTACGGAGTGCGGGAAATGTTTTACCCGGAGGGACCACCTTATGATACACCAGAGGACTCACACAGGGGTGAAACCGTACTCTTGCTTGGTGTGCGGGAAGAGTTTTACCCGGAAAGCCAGTCTTCTTGAACATCAGAGAACTCACATGGGAGAGAAGCCGTAAACACGTTCGAAGTGCGGGAAACTGTTTACTGAAATAGAACTGCCTGTTGCACATCAAATCATTCACATCGGTGGTCTTCCGTTTTTCACTTTGAGGAAGCGGACAGTTTTGAATTGCAACAAAGTCGCTAGTAACCACACACGTCCACGTTGTGCTTGCTTTAGCAGCGTCAAGCTAAACCAAAACCACACCATTTTTTTTGCCATTTTTAATATTCATTATCATTGATAGGATGTTTTTTTTTCTCTTTTCAGCATCTAATTTTTTATTACCAAGGCTGAAATAGCTTGTATAATTTTTTCTTATTGGATCCATGTTTAGTATTGTATCATTTGGAAAGCAGGTGTCTGTTTTTAATTAAAGTAGAATTTTAGGCAAAACTTTTTTTTTTTTTTTTTCATTTTTTTTTCTCATTTTTTTTTATTTTGGATAGAGCAAGAGAGGGTCATAACCCCCATCAGATTTTTTTCTGTGTCCCATTGGAGAGATTTCCCTTCACTTCCTGTCCCATAGCCAAAGAGGAAGTGGGAGGAGATCCCTGCAAATTAAGGGAATTCCTTGGAGACCGCCGCCCGCCCCAGGTCACCAGATTTAGTGTCCTCATTGGAAGATTTTCCCTTCTATTACTTTTCTTGGGGCAACCCAAAATTTGGTATTTTTCTTTTACTTTCACTTTTAACCACTTGCCCTTCAGAGGATTTCCCCCCCTTCCTGACCAGGCCATATTTTGCGATACAGTGCTGACAACTGCACGGTCGTGCAACGCTGCACCCAAATTAAATTATGACTTTTCTTCCCATAATTAGAGCTTTCTTTCAGTGGTGTTTGATCACCTGTGCGGTTTTTATTTTTTGCACTATAAACAAAAAAATTTGAAAAAAAAAAAGATATTTTCGAATTTTTCTGTAAAACATGTCTAGAAAAAAATTTAAAAAATCAAATTTCGTCATAAATTTAGGCCAAAATGTATTCTGCTCCATGTCTTTGCTAGAAAAAAAACCCCAATACGTGTAAATTAATTAATTAATTGGTTTACGTAAAAGTTATAGCGTTTACAAATGGCGATATATATACTGGATTTTTTTTTTTTAAACATTTTTTTATACTATTAATGCAGAGCAATACAAAGCAGCATGCTGGTGCTGACGGGAGAGATCTGTATAGTTTTGCGATACAGCGCTGCATTACTTTAACTGACAATTATGCACTCATGCAACGCTGCACCCAAATTAAATGTATCCCTTTTTTCCCACAAATTGAGCTTTCTTTCTGTGGTATTTGATCGCCTGTGCGTTTTTTTTTTTTTTTGCGCTATACAAACAGACCGACAATTTTGAGAAAAAAAACAATAGTTTTGACTTTTTTGATATTAAACATGCCCATTGAAAAAATTTAAAAAATCAAATTGCGTCATAAATTTCGGCCAAAATGTATTCTGCAACATGTCTTTGCTGAAAAAAAAAAAATCCCAATACGTGTAAATTAATTGGTTTACGTAAAAGTTATAGCGTCTACAAATGGCGGTATAGATACTGGGATTTCATATATAATATACATATATATATATATATATGTATATTATATAAAAATAAGCGACTTATAGCGGGACTGCAGCAGGAATTCTGACACTGGTGGGGGGAACTGACTTGGTGTCACTGACATCCTCAGTGACACCAATGCAGTGATCAGTGCTAATAAAAAGCGCTGACACTGTACTAATGGCACTAGACAGGAAGAGGTTAACATCTGGGGCGATCAAAGGGTTAACTGTGTGTTGTTTTACTGTGTGCTGTGTGTGTGTTTACTGCTCCTGCACGCTGCTTTGTATGGCTGTGCTATACAGAGCCATACAAAGCAGTGTGCAGGAGCTGACGGGAGAGATCTCTATTGCTTACATACAGGTCTCTCCCCGTCAGTGATACTTGGGGATCGCTGAGTGCTGGCGGGGTATCACCGGCCATCCGGCACCCAGAGCAAGGATGTCAAACTGCGCCCCCCCCCGGGTTCATAATGTGCAAGCTTGGGGCACCTTGGTAAAAATCACTGTCACTACTCCTGTTCCTTGTAACAGAAAGATGGTGCCCCCATCAGGGGGCCCTCGGGAAATAGGGGATCATGGGGCCCCTATGTCCTTGCCCAAACTCAAAAAAGCCTATGAAAAAGGTACCAGGGGCATCTCATGGGGCCCCCTACTGACCTTGGGCCCTCGGGCAGTTTCCAAATGGTCAGACCGCCCCTGGCCCCCATCCCTACAGCAAACCATTGCATCCAGGGTTGCTGCCCCTCCCACCCCATATGGAAGAAAAATATATTTGAAATATATTTTAAAAATATTCTTCCCAAATATATTGGCATATATTTGAAATACTACAATTTTGGCCATATTCTATATATTTAAAAATATATTTCAATAAATACATTTATATATACTGCATGTTGAAATGCATTTTTTATTACAAAATATATGAAAAATATTTTTAAAAATACATTTCAAATATACTGTATGTCTTTAAAAATACAAATCTACATCTTTGGAATGCATTTACAAATATATGTAAAAATATATGTTAAAATGACTTTTTTATATGTTAAAAAAAATCTGAAGAATATATTTCAAAAATATATATTTTTAAAAATATTTTTCATATATTTTGTAATATATAAAAAGCGCATTTCAACATGCAGTATATATATATATATATATATATATATATATATATATATATATATTTTATTTTATTTTTTAATATATTGAGTCTGGCCAAAATTGTAGCATTTCAATTATACTGTATGCCAATATATTTGGGAAGAATATTTCAAATATATTTTTCTCCCATGTGGGTAGGTAAGTAAGTATATCAGGTAGATGCGATCAAAAAGATGGATGGGTGGATGGATCGTTGGGCAGATCATCTCATGGAGAAACGTAGGACTTTGATTTTCCGCAGCGCCTCAGCACAGGCAGATCAGGGAGAAATCCAACGCCCATGCAGGAGAAAGAAAGTAACCAAGGAAATTTTAACCACTTTCCAACATTTACTAACCACTTGAGCTACGGAAGATTTTACCCCTTTTTTTGGCCATTTTTTTGCTATTCGGCACTGCACTACTTTCGCTGGTATTTGAGCGGTCATGCAACGCTGTACCCAAACAAAATTTATATAATTTTTTTCACACAAATAAAGCTTTCTTTTGGTGGTATTTGATTACTACAGTTTTTTTTTTTGTTTTGCTTTTTTTTGCGATATTTTGGTAAAAAAAAATGTTTTAATTTCTGCTATAAAATATATCCAATAAATATTTATAAAAAATCACATTTTTTCATCATAAATTTAGGCCAAAATGTATTCTGCTACACGTCTCTGATAAAAAAAATCACAATAAGTGTATATTAATTGGTTTGCGTGAAAATTGCAGCGTCTGCAAACGATGGGATATACATACTGGAATTTTTTTTTTTTATACTCCTAATGGTGGTGATCAGCAACTTGTAATGAGACTGTGAAAATGCGGCAGGAAATCTGACAGTAACTGACTCTGGATGGTAATTGACTAACTGCCACTGACATCACCAGTGACATTAATACAGTGATCAGAGATAATGCTGTCACTGTACTAATGACACTGGCTGTGAAGGGGTTAACATAGAGGGCGATCAAGGGGTTAAATGTGTGCCTACCAGTGTGGAATGTGTGGATTATGTGCTGCTTTTACTAAGAGATCTCTTTGTTTCTCCTCCTTGCTTTTCAGGGAGGAGAAACAGTGAGATCGATCCCTCTGTACAGAGCCCTGTATTGAATATCAACACAGAGCTGTGGGCTGTGATTGGCTGGGACTTGCTGATAGACTTCCACTGTGTACAATCACAGCGGGTGTTGGCGAGGGGGCGTGCATGCCACCCCTGAAACCCAGAAGCAGGTAGCAACGTACCAGTATGCCACTTTGCCTGCATGGGCCGCCCGTCCAGGTTTTTTTTGCCTTCTGGATCAACTGTGAGTGTAGGATTATAACTTTTTTTTTTTTAATGGTTGAACTGGATAGACTTTTCTCTTTTTTTGGCCAGACTAACTATGTTACTATGTGATGTGCCGAGATGGAGGTGTGGAGCCACTAGAGCACATGGAAAGCAGACCCACCAGATGACCCAGCCAGCGGCGGCATCTACAGCCGTCCTTGATGAACAGGGTGGGCACCAGGAGAGTGGCAGGCACCACGTGTTTCAAAGGCCCTGCCATCTTTTTCAGGTTCCTCGAAGATAGAGGGGACTGTTAGCCAGCACATGAGCGGGTAAACAACTGGCATTTAGTGACAGCTTTTGAAACGGAAGAAGCCAGAAAAGGGATGACAGTTGTCAAAGAGCAGCAGACCTAATGGAACTACAAATACCAGCCTCAACAGCTAAAACGGGAAACGTCAACATTTAAAATTAAAACTTTTTTGCAGATCGAGCCTCACTAATGGACTTTTGATTATGTGGATGGCTTTCTTCAATCTTTTGTCCCTTCCTACATCAGAGTCTCCTCCTAATTATTGGGCAATACTAAAAATGAGGACAGCAAGTAGCTATTATTATTAATTTACAGGATTTATATAGCGCCAACAGTTTGCTCAGAGCTTTACAATATAACGGGAGACAATACAGTTCAATACAAGAGGGCTGTGAGGGCTCTGCTCCTTGGAGCTTACAATCTAAGAGGGAGGGGCTAGTGGTAGAAAAGGTAATAACTGGGGGATGGACTTGTAGGAAGAGTAGAAGATTCCATTATTAGCTGAAGGCAGGATAGGCTTCCCTGAAGAGATAAGTTTTCAGAGATCGCCTAAAAGTGAGCAGAGTAGGTGATAGTCTGATAAATTGGGGTAGAGAGTTCCAGAGGATGGGGGAAGCTCTGGAGAAGTCTGGAGACGAGCATGGGAGGAGGAGACAAGGGAGCTAGAGAGCAGGAGGTCGTGCGGAGAGGACGGTTTGGGTGATATTTGGAGACAAGATCGGTGATGTAATT